TCGAGGATTTGTCAACTTAATTTATTTTATTTATTTATTAAAGACACAATGTAAACTTACAGTAACAACCAAGAACGCTTACATGCTTTACTTATACTACATACATATTTGATACGCTAAGTTTGCCTTAATTTTATTATTTTTATTAAATTACTTTGCTAATGCTGTCGCAAAAGATGTCAGCATCCTGGACCTTAGCGACTAGACAATTAAGCAACGTGAGACTACGTTTCGTGGGCAAGTGTTAATGTCTCCTTGGCGGGTCCAGTGGCAGTACCCCTCAGGTCTTTGCAATCTTAACTTCTAAGTGTCACTACTACTGTTATGGACAGGCGTATCGCTTACCACCAAGCGCACAACCATTCGTCTCGTCACTTGGTATCATAAATAACATTGACTTTTTTTTTTTATAAAAAATCAGAACTCAAAAGTTCGTGGAATTACATCTATTAGCCAAGTTTTATTCAAATCGGTTACCGGAAAGTGCGCGAAACATGATTCATCCCCTAGTTTGCCACCCTTAGAGGTGATATATTTTCTTTAAATTTAAATGGGACCAATACTGAGGTACCCTCTTTCCAACGAAAAAAGAATAATCAAAATCGGATCACAAATATCGGATAATAGAGTTATCGCGTAATATACATAAAAAAAAGCAGTCGAAATGAGAACCTCCTCTTTTTTTGGAGTCCGTTAAAAATATATAACAAAATGCAACTAACATCTGTTTTTACTTACAGGGATGTAAAGCCCTCCAACATTCTGCTAGACAGGAGGGGTAATATAAAGTTATGTGATTTTGGTATATCTGGTAAGCTAGTGGACTCGATAGCGCGTACTCGCGATGCTGGTTGTCGACCCTATATGGCGGTAAGTCCCGTTTTATGTTTTAAAATATAACGTTTCACTTGGATTAGGAGCCTTAAAACTAGAGATGACACGAATATTCGGCTACAATTCGATATTCGGCCTATTCGGCCACTTTTTTAATATTCTACGACTATTCGGCCGAATACCGAATATCAAACAATGAAAAAAAGCACATATACGCAAATTATTGCTTTTATACTTAAAATCAATCAGATGCAGGTTCTGATGAATGAAAACTATTTTTTCAGCATTGGTCGCTAACAAACTTGCGCTTTTCCACATAACAATTCCTGCTTGTAAAAATAGCCTCTCACTATAAACGTTACTGCTAGGAAACGATAGATAAATCTTATCAAATTTTGACAGGCTTGCTATTGCTTTGCGTTTGCTGACCACCACTCGTAAGGATTGCCGTCCGGTCTACGCGAACGGTTTTCAAATAAAAATAAATCTCATGTGCAATAGAACTTTTCTCCACATCCTCATCATTTTGCATATTATCTGTAGCGACTTCTTGAAAACACGTCCTGAAACTGTCTTGTATTGATTCTATCGTTTTATCATTTTTCAACAAAAACATCCAACCCCGTTACCTCCGCATGCAGCGCAATGAGACAAGTCGTAACTGGTCGCGCTTGACATGCACACATCTTACGCTGACCATTCAGCAACCGAATATTCGGCGCTTCGGCCGAGAGCGTGGCCGAATATTCGGCATTCGGCCAAATCACTATTCGTGGCATCTCTACGTAAAACGCTGCTTACATTGATGTATAAAAATAACGTATTTTTTTAAGAAAATTTGTGGAATAAAGTCGAGTGATAGAGTAAAGAATACAGTACAGTAATAAGTGAAAAATATGGCTAGAAAGGGGATATGGTGACTACAATAAAGAAAGGAATGTTGAGATGGTTTGGGCGTGTAAAGCGGATGGACGTAAGAAGAATTATCAAACGTTTATGGTGCGAATGGGGATGGAAGTGTTTTATGAAGACATCTCAGAAGGACTTATATTGACCAGATCAGTAGTGTCCTCAAAAAGGCTGGGATATGAAATGACTAGAATAAAAGAAGTTATATGAAAAGAATAGTTGATATATGCGAGTACAAAGTTGTGTAGAGTTAGGAGGCGTTCCGTGGTCTCTGCCTACCCATCCTGTGGGGCAAGGGTGTGAGTTTATGTATGTATGTTTAAGAACATTCTGATAATAATAATTAAACTTCTAGAACACCCAGACTCTTCTTTCTCTTCTTCTTTAAGTATCTTTCTCTTCTTAAGGTTACGCAATTCTTACATCTTGGAGGTATACTATTTGGAAGGTGGAACCTGAAAGGCAGCATGTAGTGCTGAGGCTCCATCCTTTTCATTGGCACAAGTTTCTACATTTCCGAAACTGTTAACCTGTTTTTTGTAAATGTGCTTATGAATAAATGTCTTATTATTATTTTTTCCGGATCTAAATCGTGTATATTTTGTTTTTCATTTATTAACTAGTTTTGTCTTATATTAATGCAAACCACCTTATTCTGAACTATAATTTAAAAAACTTGCTTAAATAATTTAAATATCTTATTTTCATTTTACCGAAGAACATTCCGATTTCCCCTGTATACACTTTGCAATATATTTTAAATATTTTTTACAAAATTGTATTTAGTAATTAAAAGGAAAGTAGATTGGCTTTGTTTGAAAAAACAAGCTGTTCGCGTCTTAATTTTACTACACAAACTATCTTGATAATGATGTTGACAAATAAAGAATCCTTGTTGATCTTAAAACGGTATTTCCTTTAAATTTTTATTGAATCTCAGAATGTTTAACCACAATGATGTTCAATTATTTTTGTGAAATTACTCCACTAGTTTGTTATAATTATTAATACGAAAATCGAACACTTAGAAAAAATTCCTTCAATCCGGCCGGATTCGAATCCACGTACTCGATTACAAAATCAAATACGCGCTTGCTTTATGCCAACACCTTGATTGCAAATGTATAGAAATTATAACATAAAACATGAAAATGCTAACGCGCATACTTAATGTGCGTTTTAACCACACAAGCATACGCGAATTAAACCCGGAAAAATAATTTTGTTTACAATTTTATGGTATTAAATTGTTTAAGGATCCATGACACAGTTTACAGTTAGTTTGGGATAAGAATTGTATATCTCTAAAATCTACGTAATGGAATTATTTTTCTAAATAAATTATACGAATTGTAGCCCGAAAGGATCGACCCAGGCCGCGCTCGCGGCTACGACGTCCGGTCGGACGTGTGGTCACTCGGCATCACGCTCATGGAAGTGGCCACCGGCGCCTTCCCCTACCCGCGCTGGGGTTCCGTCTTTGAGCAACTGCAACAGGTGGTACAAGGAGACCCGCCGCGCCTTACCAACAACAACAACTCCTTTTCTAACAATTTTGTCAATTTTGTTAATACTTGGTAAGTCATCAAGAATTTCCATACGCTAACATCCTAGCATGCGTGTCTAGTTGAAAGCAGTATACAGCTTTGCCTACTTTGCGTAATTTCCGAGTATAACCTCCTGAGATCCAGCAAATTTCAACGCACTAAATATAATTACATATTTCTATCCATAGCAGGCATGCCCTAAATTTTGTATGAAAAACGTATTGTTCTGGTTATATTATCATTCAAATAATATTGTCTGAGTCTGAATCATTCACGTACTATGTACACTTTTATTACGCGGGGCTTAGGAGGGTATGAAACACAACCAATATTTAATGTATGTTCTGTAATGTATGCACATTAAATATTGTATAAAATATATTAATACATTAACAATCCAACAACCGCTGTAAAATGTTTTAGTAGCAGAACTGCCGTCCTCAACTAAATCCCGGCTAAGTGACAAAATATTTTTGTGAGATGTCATAAAAAACCATACTTACCATACCATAATCCAGTTTAAGGGTCGTATTCCAGAACTCTACTCAATGCTCAAGTCAGGATTTGAGCAGACTTGAGTATGATTTCAAGCACTGGAAATACGATCCTAATGGCAAGGACTTGAGTATGATTTTCAATGCTCACTGAAATACTCAAGTCCTGACTTGAGTATTGAGTAGTGTTCTGGAATACGACCCTTAGAATATTGACATTGTTTATTGATATTTCAGCTATGCATCGTTAGGCTAAGTTCCGATAAGTTGAACGTTGAAGAATGACAATTTTGTACTCTTATCTTTTTCTATTGGAAACGGATATTTGACCATTTCTCACTTAACCGCGTTTTAGTTAAGTGGACGGCAGAAGAAGAGCTCCTTGTGAAATAGTTTGTCCAGCAAATACCATGCCACTTTATCTATTTCTGCTACCAAGCAGTAATATGAGCATTACTACGTTCCGGTTTTTAAGAGCAAGGGTGTGCGTGACGTTTTTTTTGTTCTAGCCAGATTTCTACGCTTTGGCATTATTTTAAGGTAAAGGTGCTGGTGAAATTACCGGCACAAGGAACTTTATATCTCAGAGTGAGGGACGCAGTGGCAGTGTCAGACCTTTGCTGTTTTAAAGCTCTGAGTAGTACTTTAACTGTTATGGGTAGGCGTGTCGCTTACCACTAGGATCACGACTTGATTTTTATTACCATGAAAAAAAAAACATTTTTAAGATGTGAATGCTGAGCTAAGCTAACAAAATGGTGGATACCTACTTCCTGTCTAATTGCATCATATTAAATATTTTACTAAGTATGAGGACGCGACGGAAGATGTCAGGGTCGGTGTCCAGTCTGGCATTAGACTGAATAGCAACGTGTTGCTACCTTTTCATGGTAGCTACACATTGTTCACATAGTCAAGGTCGAAGTCAAATAATCAATTATTCCATAGGCAAAATTTTTACACTTGCAAACGTCACTTTTAAGCTACTGCTCGTTATCTGTGCTGACCTCTCCGAGAACGAGCAGGAAACTCTAGGGATTGCTCTTTTCAAATAAACTTAAATGCTATGGAATACACTTTGAATCATAATTGTGTGGAATGTTGTCTTTCCGTACATTTTTATCTAAAACATACTCTTCAATGTTGTAATATGACTTTTCAATTAAAATACTTTTAATGTAAGTTTTAAACTTTGGAAATGATAATCTTAATATATGCTCCGGAATCTTATTGTAAAAACGTATTCATTTCCCCATAAAAGATTCGTTTACTGTCATAAATCATAAATTAATTTACTCATTGTTTCGTTTTAATTTTATTTTTTCTTAACTCTACAAGTGTTTATTTAAAACATATGCCATGAATATTTTTTTACTATTTTGTATGAATTAAATTTCATTATTTAATTAAAAACATTTGTACATATTCGCATATAAAAAAATATTTATTTTATTTACCTCGTTATTTCGGACGTGTTGCAACGTCCATGTTCTCGAAGGGATTGAAGAGCCGAGTGTCAACATCGTAATAAATAAATATATTACACGCAATTAAGTACAGTTTCTTAAAATCAAATAATGTGCGAATATCGTGAAAGTTTAAATCGATCTAATTAAATTTCAGCCTCATCAAAGAAGAAACACAGCGTCCAAAGTACAACAGACTACTCGAGCACCCGTTCATCAAAGGTATAGATCAGAGCAGGATCGACGTCGCCGAGTATGTGTGTAAGATTTTAGACGCCATGGAACGCAATGGCGTCAGTCCGTTCACGACCGACCAGCCAGCGCAAGCATGGGTCGATTAAAAGTGGCTATTATACGAGTTGATACTATTGCAGACATTTCAAAATTTAACTTTACTCTATTTATTTTATTGAATATCATGATATTTTTACTACCATGAATTTGATATATTTTTTTGTGAAAATACTTCACTGGTTTGTTGTTATTGACATAAAAGATCGAACAATCACGGCTGGCCCCGAACCAGCGACTTTTTCACCAAACTGGGGCTATCGCTCTACCAACTGAGCTAAGGAACGAGTTGCTAGACCTTATGAATTTCTCTATATGTAGTAAATTTAAAAAAAGTCATTTACTGCAGACAATTTACAGTCCATTTTATTAACTATCTATTATATTATTAGTACCAAAGTTACAGAATAAAAATAAAGAAAGTAAAATTAATAAATGAATGAAATGTCTTCATTATACCTGCTAAGTTTACCTGAACTCCCAGGACGTGAAGTTTGCTGAGCCTAACAAGCAGTTCGGAGCCCCAACTGTACCCTATCATTTTAAGAACTCTGTTTGACCTCTCGATTCGCATTAGTGCGTAAAAGTCCTCTACACTAGCGGCGGCAAACATGCCCGACGACGAGACAGTAGCAATACAAACACTATATACAAAATTCGTAGGGAGTTGTACGCCTTCTGAGTACAACTGACCCATAGGCTACTTGTGTAGAAAGTCTGGCAGTGCTTGCTTTAATAAGCGTTATTTTGGTCTGATGTGATTGTTACAGATCTTTGTTTTTTATTTTGAAGACTTTCTTGCCGTAGCGCCACCTATGGATTTTTTTTTGTGTTTTTTCGATCTTTTTGCCAATAATAACATTGGACTATACAGTTTAGAAGAATACATTATTCTTGATTCGGATTATTCTTGGGTTAGTATTCTATGCCTAATTTCCGTGGCAAATTTCATTATTTGTTACGGCTCCATCAGCTCCATCCACATTGTACCTGCTCGTGAATCTGCCTTGAACTATCTTATAAGGATGTAAAGAAAGGCAACAGCGCCTAAGTATTTATATAGTTTAAAATTCATACAAACTATTTTGCTTTTAGTTTTTTACTAGGCACTTTTTTGTATGTCAAGTGTGACGTATGCCGCCGCATCATTCGGCAGAAGCCCCGAAAATGTATATTATGTTGTACAAGCACCTATTAACAAAGTTGTTATCGCAGCTTTGGTCTATTATTAAATAAATCAGACCCGTTATATTCCGGAATTTATTTTTTTTTTTCAATAAAGGTTAGCTGTACTAAATCGACGTTGATATAATTGCTACTTTATGTCTTATTCTAAAATTTATTACAATTTTACTAAAAATTAAATGTAATTAAACTTAAAGACGTCCAAAGGTCACATCAATCCGCAACGTAGGCTTCGTCAGGTAGACACAAATATAAATCAGCAACGGCCATCATCACATTTCTGAAATATTATTGTTTACTAACCAAATTTATCAAACACTTCTTCGAACTTTTATTTTGGAAATCACTCTAACAAGTTTTTAAGTATTCTAGTATATTTGTTGAAATTGAAATGTGACCTCGTAACGCGACCTGGAGACACAAAAAAAGTGGATTAAAACATAGTTGCGCAATAGAGACATCGTGTGGCTCTAGAACGCTACTATACCACAATCGGTAGGAATACTGTGTATCTCTAAGACTGTGATGGATTAAATAACACTTCACGATACTATTATATAAAATCTCGAATATTAACTTATTTTACACGACAGTATATTCGAATATAAATAATAATAATTGCCACGAAAATTATAGTGGACACTAACCTGAGAATCCCTCTCCTTCGCTTGTCCAATCTCCAGAAGTCATACTATAAATGCACAGTCGTATGGTAGCAGTGGTCATATTGTTGTTTCTTCTTAATTTGAAGAATTATACTCGTTGTGGTATTTTAATAAGGTCTATTTCACACGAGATTATTGCCATTGTATTTATTTTTCTATTGTTGTAAAACTTGTTGTATTATAGAGGGTTATTTGTAAAATACCAACAATCTAGCAGGACTATATCACTACCATCACAAAGAACAACTTTGGTTCCATGACTTTTAATAACTCATCAGACTTAACTGTCGTGTTAAAATAGATAGCTCTATATAATTTTGTGCGGTAACAAAAGAAAGCACTAGCGTAAAACCAGTCCCATGTAGAACACAGGAGCAGGGTGAGAGTCTAATTTACTACCAAATAGATTTAAAAAAATTAGAAACATATTTATCGTAAATTTATTATGTTTTGTTAAGATTCATGGAACAAAAGTGTTTATTTACGACGTTAGTAACAAGTCCATGCAAGGTTGTCAGTATTTTAGAAATAGGCCTATATCTTACATTTGTTTTATTAATGAGGTTTAAAATGTTTACGATAGTGTCAACGGCAGGCTTGTTAACTTTTCCGTCATCTTACGCCACTGGTGTGTGCAAGGCATTTTTTTTTTACAGTCTCCAGTGAGTGATTTTATTATTGGAGAAATTTTCAGGTTAATTTTTTCTACCTAATTTTGGTGGCAATTTTTATTATTTAAATATTCTCACAAGTATAGTAACCTAAAATATTATTTAACGTTTCACCATAATGTGCTCGAATACTTAAATAATAATATTGCCACCGAAATTAGATAGAGAAAATTAACCTGAAAATTACCCATTTCACTTATCGTTGTGACCTTGACAAATAAATCTAGAGGTTGTATAATGTAATCATAAAATAACTCCCACTTCACACATCGGTGGTGAAAAGGGGAAAATCCACTTTTTATACACAGGTGGTGAAAGACGGTAGATAATGGTACAAGCCCTAAAACATTAGTGTACGCTATAATACAATTGAAATTCTTCTTACACCAATTCACATATGCAACGTTAGTGATGTATGTTTGAAACTTTAAATCTTGAAGGCGAGTTTTATGTTGTATCCTGGAATTGTACCAATGGGATAAAACACAAACTTTTTGTAAAATTATATGGAGTTATCATTGACTTACAAATAAAAGCCAATGGGAGTTATTTGTAAATTACTAGCAACCAGGACTTATTTAAACAACTTTTGTTCCTTGACCTAATAATTCATGAGATTTTATTTTCGTACAAAAATAAAAGTATTCAAATAGGTCGCTCTGAACGATGATGACTCTTTGCGGTAACAAAACAAAGCGCTAGCGTAATACAAATTCGATGCAAAACGCAGGAACGGGGATGGGGGTCGTCGAGAAGAACGCTTGCACGTTTGAACTTACTACCTTACTATCAAATATAGATCCAAAAGTGTCAGATAGTACAACAAAACTTAAAAGTTTATTTTTGGTAAACTTATTGTATTTTTTTTTAAACTCATGGAACTAAAGTTGCTGTTTATGATGTTAGTAATATACTCCTCTGAGTTTGTTAGTATTTTACAAACAACCTCGACATTGACGATCACCGAAGTCGTCAACGTCGCCCAGCAGTTTGCATTGTGGACGCTAGATGGGGAGGTCTCGTGTTCGATTTCCGGTAGGACCAATTAAGGAAATGAAGTTTCTAAATTGGCTCTAGATAGTGCTCCCAAGTGAATACCTTGGCTTACCTTTCCTAGTTAGCGACCAGGTAATTCGTGTAGTTATTATTATTTAAAACCAAACACTGTTCGCCACGTAGATTCCATTGGAATTGCGGACTAATCAGCTGTTTTATGATAAATGTTGGTACCTCTTTGTTTCGCGATTTCAGAACCCCCGAAAGTAAAAGTTGTTTTATTTCACGTACTTAACACGCCCTTAAAAGGATGTCAGCGTAGTAGTTGACTTCTAGCACATGAAAAGCCTATTACTGCCGCCATGCAGTAATATGAGCATTACTACGTGCCGGTTTTGAAGGATGAGGGGTTTTTTATTTTAATACCATTCCCTGTTGAACATTGTAACAAAGGATAGATTTTATAAAATTAATATTTTACTTATTGTTACCTTTACATATTGTTGTCAAAAATATGCAATATAAATTGTTTTTTTTTATTTCCATTGCTACTTTGCTATTACAACAAAAATGAACATTATTGATAGCATTTATCGACTGCAGTGATGCAAGACCCCTGCACTTCAGTACCTGCTCGTACTCTTTTGTTAAGTGTGAGAGAGAGAGAGAGCGCAATATTTCCTGCTCTGATAGTTTATGGCCGAGTCTGCAGCGAGTAAATAATCTTTCTATAATTCGCGAATTATCCGACCACAACTTATTAGGCCAACTTCTATCCTCGATGTTTCTCACATAGTTTTTAATACAGCCTGCCCCACCATTGGTACAATTCAGAGCAACAGAAACATGCTAAGTTTAGTCAAAAGGAGTGTCTTATTAAGCCATCTTTTGTCACTGGCGTTCCTCACATACTTTTTACCGCAGTCACTTAGCAATGGGGTTGTCAATATTAATTAAAGTATAAACATATTTCTGTATGAAATGACGTAGTGTAAAATGTTAGGACAAGTAGGACAATTTTTCTGTACTCTTTGAAGTATTTTATATGTATATCTGTTTATTATTGCCCTCCAGGTTCCCTGTTTTTGTTACTTTTACCACTGGACGTTAAAGTCTGACAAGTTACAAGGCTCCATTATGCAGAATTTCAAAGAACTACTATTATTGACAAACGCATTTATAATTAGAGATAATAATAGACTGACGTATAATGGGTTGCTAGTTTTTGATGAAATAGTGTTGTCTAACGAATCGACTTTATTTACTCATTCAATAGATCATGACAGTGAATTATATTTTTTTATTATTATGACGACCTCCGCGGTCGAGTGGCTTGCATATCGGTTTTCATGGAGGTCCCGGATACGATCCCCGGCCGGGTCAATATAGAAAACTTTTCATTATCTTGGGGCTGGGTGTTTGTGGTACCGATGTTGTTTTAGTAATGTATTGTTAAAAAGTCTCAATGCTATATTTTTTAGCAGATTAATAGTCAAAATTTCTTGACTGACCCTGTTTCTGTGACTTAATTAAGAACTAAACATACCACTATGCAACAAACATGACAATATTATTTTTTAAAGTGACGAGTATCATGTCAGTATGTCTATTTAAAAATCCAACTGTATTGATGATGTCATAATTCAATACTATTGCCACCATTTTAGGGCCAAAAATAACTTGTCAATCTTTACTCAATTCTTTAATTCTTTGTGTATAGCGATGTTCTATGTGAAATATGTTATTGTATATACATTGTTCTTTGTATATATTTTGTTGTTCAAATCAGGTACAGTATATATTGTACTTTCATAACAAAGTGGCGCTATTCGGAAGTGACATTGTTGGGAAACTTCGAAATGAAACCTATATATCTGTTTTCGTGTCAATAACGATTTTGTCATATTTAGCAACAATCAAATGGCATGTAAAGCGCAGGCCACTCCGCGAACGAAGCTAACTTAATTTGGTTGCATGCAACCAACTATGCCAGCTAACTTAGCTCATATCACGTGGTTGCATGCAACCAACTATGCCGGCTAAGCTAACTTAGCTCAGCTCACGTGGTTGCATGCAACCAACTATGCCAGCTACGCTAACTTAGCTCAGCTCACGTAAAGCTAAGAAAATACGTAATAAGTAGCGACTATGGATACCTGCGGGGGTGAAGAGCGGAAGAAGGGCTACATATTTTACATAGCCTAGCGGGATCGTTGGGTTAGTTTAGTTAGCTCGGTTAGCTTAGTTCGCGGTGTGAACCGAAGTATGAAAAGATGCCCCGGCTACGTGAGCTAAGCTAAGTTAGCTTCGTTCGCGGTGTGGCCTGCGCATAGACTGGTCCCACATACTTTATTTTTTTAAGTCTGTTCCCAAAAAGTAACGGATTCCGTCACTTAGTTATTGCAAGCGCAATATACGCACGTTGAGATCAATACCATCACTAAACGTAAAAGTCCACTTTTGTGACATAGTCTTTAAAGTCTATGAAATTAAAGTTCAGTTTGAAAAAAAGCCAATTTCTTTTAGTGATGGTGTCGGTTTCAACCTGCGGTGTGCCTTTTTAAGAATTATTTTTAATTAGCATGAAATCTCTAAGCGCAGCATTCAAATCAACATCTTCTCGTAAGCAATCAAAAATATTTAACTGGAGCGTTCGAGTTAATTAAAAATAGATAAGAATGAATGAAATTAATAACTGGGTAAACGTTCATTCTCGAATGCGATAATGTTATAATAAATATATTTTCTTTGAATAGATAGACAATGTGGATCTGTTGAAGTAATCTTACTTACCACTTTTGTCTATTGTACAGTCAACAGCACATCAAGCTGTACACTTTTGTTCGAATATCGATCAGATCAACGAAACGAAATACATAAATGTGCAGCTTAATGTACTGCCGTCTGTAGATTTTGTGCATTTACGTGTTGGCCAAAGTACAATTGCAGGTTCAAACTACATTATGCAAAAGTAGTCAAATAGCTCGTAATTCAATTCCTTACTAATGGCTCCCATATAAGTAACGATTAGTCCTCACGATCCGTCATTTCAGACTGATCGAAACGACAAATCGATAGTGTGTGCTTATGTCTTATGTGTCTTACGTATGAATAGCGGCGGATCGATACGATTATCGCGACGATGATCAAAACGACAAATCGTATGTACAGGGGAACTTTAAAAGTAGTTAAAACTACATGCTCACAACAAGACAGCTGTGTATGGTCATTTTTGTCAACTTGTCATTCCTCAGTTTCAGTTTGATGGGTTTCAATGTAAAATATGGGTTGACGTATTGAATAATTCGTAAATACCTGTTATACATATGAGGCAGTGTTAATAAAGTTGCAAAAGAATGGATCCTTTTTTGTTCTTGATACATGAAGAATTGTTCGGCTGGGTGCTGGGTGGCCCAATCGCTGGCGTTAGTGGAATTGTAAGGCCATGGAGTCTCGCCTCTTGAAGAGTCTTTGTACTAAACTGATCTGATTAAACTAAGTCTTCCTCGATTTCCTCAGACTAAACTTGGTTTTCACCTTTACACTCCCGACCCGGACTGTACACCTCGCCTTCATCGTTCGAGTGTGGAGCGGGCTACATAAGTGTCACGCGCCACAGGGGCAACTGAAGCCGACGCTCAAGATGATGTAGAACTTCACATCCCAGTACAACTTGCTGGTATACCGTTACTGCATTAGAACAGGTGTTTCGTTCTCGATTTCACTGCCTACTGGCCCTGCACGCTGTCTCACCATCAACCTCGCTACCTTCCGATCCTGTACCTTTTTCTCCGTCAGAAACTATTACCAGGGCTCCGTTACTCTCTCAAGGTTACTCGATTAGTGCCTACCGCTGAGTGTGCCGACGTCGGCACAAGCGCTGATACAAGTAATTTCGCCATGAGCATTCGGCTCCGCACGACTGCACACGGCGAGCACCTTATTTTCACCTCTTTGAGCTCGTGCTTAGGTTCCTTTTTCCTCGTAGTCAACGCCTGGTATCATTAGTCAGATTTTGTAGGTTGTTATAGCTTAGGTATTTTCGATTTTGTATGAAAGCGACTTCTTCTTTTAAATGTTATGGCTCCATCGAAATAATCAATGATTTTGCCAATGTCAAGTAAAAATAACTAAGTACGGTAGTTTAATATTATTATTAAAATTATACAAAATGTATAATTGATTAATGATGAAATGATTTCGCCAATGTCCTGTGAGTCGCCTATGAGAGCGACGTATCTGTTACGTAGTAACTATTAAGTAATCTGTGCCGTTACTGTCAAATAAGTAATGCACGACCAAATTTAAAGACAACGTCAAAGTCCACGTCTCTACTTTCTCCAATCTTCTTTTTGCACTACATCCATACATCCCTCAAAGTCAAAGTCAAAGATAATTTATTCCATAGGTAAAATAAATTTACACTTGAAAACGTCACATTTACATTGCATTAAGCTACTGCTCGTTCACTACGCTGACTTCCCTGAAAGTACGAGCAAGAAACTCTAGGGATTGCTCTTTTTAAATAAACTTAAATGCTATGGAATACACTTTGAATCAAATTTGTGTGGATTTTGGATGCGTGTCGTCTTTCCTTACAATTTTATAATATGACTTTTCAATCAAATCATATTTTCGGCTTCGTCCATATAATCCATAACTGTATTGCACACAGAAAGTGTTTGTTGATGGTCACATTTAAATTGTTTTGGTCGGAATGATTTATTTTTGACAATTGGCTAGAAAGCTACTAACTAACACTAACAAAAACATTAAGGAACTTGTGATGTAACAATCAAAACTTGTAAAAAACCCCGACAGGTTGGCTAGCATAGACCGCATTCCAAGTGCATTGTAACTTCAAAATAGCAATTAAAAGTGCAGTCTGCTAATGTGGTACCTAAATGTAGTCGAGGTATTTTTAACTACTTTTGCTAAATGTAATTTGTAGATGGAGTTACATTTTACGCAGCAATACTGTTGTGTATAATAGTTTTCTATTAACTTGTTACGAATATTAACTACCAAGGTTTGGGAACCTGGCTGAATACACTTCAGTTTGGGATTTAAAATTAAAGATTTTTAATGTGAATTGCTTATAGTTTTCTTTTGGCTGACTGAAGTGTGGATTAGAATGCACAGATATATGTAAAAGTAGTAGATAATTTTATAAATTTGTATATAAAACAGATAATAATTATGATAATAATGAATAAAATTAAAAGGCAACTAACTGTTTTTACAAAACATTACAAACAATTGACAAAATTATTCTGCTATTGTTGAGACACCTTTGCAATAATTATCACTATAGTTATGTATTTAATCAAAATTTCATCTATGAATAAGATTTGGTTCTCAATACTATTGTATATTTAAGGAATAGAAATGATATAAAATACAAAAGCATGTTTTATTTTACCACAACTTTGACAAAAGAAATTTGTACGCCTATAATTAAACGTTCTCCTCATCATCATAGCCCATGTAATCGACATTTTTAGCAAAATTGAGTTAACCCGGGATCAGCGGAACGAAATCTACAACCCCCTTTAATCGGCAGGCTTAGTATCGAACTTTACAATAGCAACGCGATTGCTGCCAGTTGCGGTTGCTAAGTTGGTATTACGGATGTAAATCGCAAACTGATTGCGGGTTTTTTAAATCTCAATTAGTTTCGGTTCAATTGTTTGTAAAGTAAAATCAGCATATTTAACACTTTTCAATGAAAAAAACATTAGGTAATATCTCATGTTACCAAAATGCAAATGCATTAGCTAAGACAAAAATCGCGGTACTGTTGTATGGTGGAATTTTAATATAAATAATTCCTCATTGACCAACAATTTTGCAGATTTTAAATATACCTTACTTATAGCGTTACTATACTTCGAAAGATTTTTAATATAATATAAAAAATTTGGAAGGATACTATTATCGAAGAGGTTGAAATTGTGTGTAGAGTGGAATAACTTTATAAAAATTGTCAGTTGCAAATACACACGAAACGACATTGTTTAAATTGCATTATAAATAAAATTGTTGCCAAAATACGTAATTTTTTAATTACATTGTTAATTTCGTTTTCATATAAAAAAAATTGTTTGATATTTTATTCATCATTAATCATCAATTAGGGCGCGTTCTTATTATGTCGTGACATTTTATTTACTGTTTCCATATCGATACGATAAAATAAACGAAGGACTGTCGGGTCTAGGTTCACCGAGTTGGGCACGATCGGCCGGCCGACCGCGACTCGAGTGTACTCCGAAAGTCGCCGAACCGACAGAGCAAGAACGAATAGCCGACACGCTGTATAAATTAAGTATTTAGCTGCACCGAGCTAGCTCGAGTTCACAAAAAGTAGCTTGAGTTGACTCGTGGGAGTAACTCGACTCCATCCCTCGCGACTCGAGCGTGCTCCGAAGGTCACCGAACTGAATGAGGTATTTGGCTCGGGCGGAGCGGGTATCGAACCGAGTTAGCTCGAGTTCATAATAAAATAACTTGAGTTGACTTTGGGTGAGGCTTGTGTCCAGCAGTAGACGTCTTTTGGCTGAAATGATGAGTTGACTCATTGTGGGAGTAACTCAGGTCAATCGGAGTTAAGTAACTCGACTCGCTCATCGATAGTAGGGGGTGTACATCTCGTTTGGCTCATTCTAGATACGTTAATACTCAATTTCGCTAAAAATGTTGATTACGTTAGTTTTGATAAGGAGGACAGGATATTATTGGTATGATGCTCTTCTGGCAATGCACTGCACATTTTAAGCAACTAAGGGGCTCAATTACTATGAAACAAGCCTTTCATGTTTGTTAAACTTGTATACTTACCTAACTAAAGTAGACCCAGTGGTCCAGTACCAAACAAAATGACAAAATGACCAAAGTACCGAGTCTAAAGTAAAAAACTCTTACTCTAAAACATGTCCCATTTTCTCCGCGTTATAAATTTTACCATATCTAACAAGTAACTTATATTTAGTACCATCCATCAGCTGTGGCGTCAAATATATTGCATCTATTATCTTAGGAGGTAAATCTAAGAGAGGTACCCATTCTTCTGTGGCTATTATTCTGTCTACTCTGCGACCCCAGAAGTCCAATGAAGATATTTTAATTTGTTTATTGTCTTCACTTATGTAAAGATGGCCAATTATGTTGCGAAATGGAAGTGTTGCTAGTGATAGCACTATAAGGCCAGTGATACCTGCAATATTAAATATATAGCTAATTAATTATATAATACAGTATCATATATTGTACCATAGGTTTTGGTAGCAGTAGAGTTCGTCCAGAGAAGTACTACCACCTTACCTATTTCTACTGCCAAGCAGTAATGTGAGTATTAATTGTTACAGTTTTGAAAGGTAAGGGTGCTGGTGAAGTCACAAGCACATGGGACTTGTCAACTTATATCTCAGGGTGACAGGTGCAATGGTATCCTCAGATTTTTGTGATTCAAAGCACTGGAACTGTTATGGATAAGCGCTGTTGCTTATCACCAGGTGCACAACTTGTTCATCCCATCACCTGGTATTATAAAAACAGGTTGGAACCTGACTGCCTCCGTAACCGAATCGATGGTTTTAGATTCCCGGGCCGGGATAAAAATTTATATAGCATACATTTATTTCTCTCGTGAGTTTGGGTGTAATTTGTACTTGTCTATGTGTGTGTTCATGGCACCCGCAATACAGGGTTTCCCTAATGTGAGGCTATGAGTGTGTGCATTATTATTATTATTACTCTTGAAATGAAAATCACTTTTAAATGAGATAGAATTAGGCATATACTTATCAACACAGGCAAAGTAAGGTTTACAAACTTCACATATTCTCAAAAAATGTCCTCAGATGTCAAGGTATTCTTATGATATGTACCTTGATGGTTAAATCATCTAATACCTTGTTACATATAACAGAAAATGACTATACTTCTCAACTGTGGAAGGAAATAGGGGAGATCTTGGTCTTTTTTTATTATATACATATAGTCACCAGACTATAAGTAAATCTTTTGAGTGATTTCTGGCATTTGAGAGCAAGAAAGCTACCGCTTCAGCCTCTCTTAGTCTACAAACACATGCATTGGGTTCAGTCTCCTTATGTTGCTTTAGCGTGAGAATTCGGATGACTACTGGCTGACCTCTGTGTTTACATCTATGCAGGCCCATTTCTTTTAGAATCATTGGGATCTCCAGATATTAAGTTGCAGTTATTTGTCTTAAGTATTGTGGTACATTTTTGCAAGGGTTTAATAATTATCCCTGTTACACACTAAAAAGAAATTACTAGTGTATGTTCACATACCAATATAACTAGCTGCTAGGAAAGTATGGCTGTCAACAATATTCATCATTTCCAAGGCACCAGCACCAGGGACAACTATGGCCGTAGCAGCAAAATGATAAACTTTTAGTCTATTTATAAACGCCATGTATCTCACGGTGGGAAATGAAAATACAGTCTCGAACTTGGTAGAACTGTTTTGTTCATCAAATTTCTTTGTTGCATATGGTCTTATTGCTATTAAACTTAGTTGTTTTATATTTCGTAAATGTGTAGTACTTAATTTTAATAAGCTGGACATTATTTTTAGCAATTGAAATCTTGAAAATATTAGCAATTTAACCTATTCTTTTTGTTATGACTTTATTACTTATTCAAATTCAAAAAGTGCAAAGTTTCAATATTTTTCAGTCTTGTTTTAGGTTTGAGTTCGGATACGGATTCGAGATCGAGATTAAAATTAATGGAAAACAATTTTATGAAAGTATTTTACCCTGAGATACTATTTGATGTTCAGTGCTGTATTGAACTATAGCTTGTGCCAGATAGCATGGTAATAGCGGTTATTCACCCGACTTTCATCCCGAAGCTCTTTTTTCCATCCTCTAAGTCCCGAAGACACAATTCGAGCGGCTGATCGTCGATTCACTACGAATATGTCGCATTGGCATCTCAAAAAAAGTATAAAAGTCAATGATCTATGTAACTTAAAAATAAATGCAATTGAGTACCATTCTGTGGCTTTGAATATTGTAAACATCACATTTTTATTATTGTTCGCTAGGTATTGAAAAAAATTATTAGTTAAGAGAATTACTAGCTATTCATCTGTATAGGCCAGTGCGTAAATCCGATTCACGAGAAATTGAAATGTCAATGTCACTGTCAAATACACGTGTTTTTATTTTTAATGTTGTGTTGTGCGATATTGTAATTATAAGTCAAAAATAATTCAATAAGTAATATATTTCTCTTACTAATAACATGCAATAATTACTTCTCCAACGATTGAACAACATTAACAATGTCCAGTTCGCTCAAAGAAGTGTAAGACATGAACCTAACCTATTGATATATTATTTTTTTGTATTTTTCTTTATAAATGTACTATTATTGTGAGCAAAATTAGTTAATTGAATTTGAAATACAAATTTATACGAATTCATTTATTTGTTTCACGAAAGTAATATTATTTCCCTTGTTATTAGGTATGAGAAGTGTGAAGAGTATACCGCCTTCTACACCGGCGGAGATATTCAATGGACGACAGAAGGAGCTCGCCTGTTGTGCCAATGTGGTGATGTTATAAAGGTAATCGATATCAACACTTTTTCTAACATCCTTGTGATCGGGGACTCCGAAGATGGCGCTGAGAATGACCAAATATACACTTTTCAAATGTCACATGCAAACAATATTGTGGTCACTGCACATAAAAGTGGACTAATCAAGCTATGGGACAGAGAAACTGGTAGACAGGAGAAAGTATGGAGATCAGGACATAAAGGTCCAGTTGCCAGATTAGCATTTGATTTATCTGATGACAATATTGCATCAGGTGGATCAGACGGTAGTATAAGATTATGGGATCTTGCACATAACACTTGTACTAGCAGTCTTCGCGGTGCTATGGGTGTCTTCACAGTGCTAAAATATTATCCTGACTCATCTAAACAGCTAATATTTGGAGCGGCAGATGATACCAAAATTAGATCATGGAACTCCAAAACTGGAAAGGAGCACATGGTATACTCTGGTCATTTTAGTAAAGTAACTTCAGTACAGTTCACACCTGATGGGCAACATATGGTCAGTTCTGGTAGAGATAGAGTACTCATTCTTTGGAACATTAATGAAAGTAAAGCTTTAAGAACAGTGCCAGTTTATGAAAGCATTGAAGCAACAGTGCTTCTTCCCCTTGCATTTAAAATACCTAACTTTAAAAAGAAAGTAGAAACTGAAGGTATTTATGTAGCATGTGCAGGTGAGAAGGGAATTGTTAAAGTGTGGAATGTGCAAATGAGCCGTGTTATGTATGAACAAACAAACAGTCTGGTTTCCCCAGCTTCTGAAGAAGGAGGCTTAGCAATTACTCATTTACTGTTCAATGAAGCCAGAAATGTATTGTCTGTTGTGACAGCTGACCATAATATCATAATACATGACTTAGAAACTTTTGACTGTATGAAACAAATGACTGGATTCACAGATGAAGTTCTAGATATAATTTTCTTGGGTAAAGATGAAACTCACCTTGTAGTTGCCACTAACAGTCGTGACTTGAAATACTATGAAATAGATAATATGAATTGCCAGATTGTAAAAGGACATACTGATATTGTCTTGGCCCTAGCAAGGTTCCCAACTAGGCCTGATATGTTTGTATCTTCTGGCAAAGACAATTCTGTTAGGATTTGGTTTCAAGATACAAATAATGAGATTAAATGCTTGGGTGAAGGAGCTAGGCATACAGCTTCTGTAGGTTCTGTTTTTACTGCACAAACATCTAATGAGTTCTTCACTTCAGTGAGCCAAGATAATTGTTTAAAAATTTGGACTGTGCCTAAAGAAACTGATAGTTTTGATCGTAAACTTAATTCCAGTCACACTGAAGTTGCTCATCAGATGGATATAAATTGTGTAACTGTGTCGCCTAATGATAAGATGATAGCAACTGGTTCTCAAGATAAAACTGCGAAACTTTGGACTGAAGAGTTGTCTTTACTAGGTATATTGAGAGGACATAGAAGAGGTGTATGGTGTGTTAGATTTTCACCTGTGGATCAAGTAATACTTACATCTTCTGCTGATTCAACAATAAAACTTTGGTCGATAGCTGATTTGAGTTGCTTGAAAACATTTGAAGGTCACGAGAGCTCCGTTCTCAAGATTGAGTTTATGAGCAAAGGCCAACAAATTATTTCGAGTGGTGCAGACGGCCTGTTGAAATTATGGAACATAAAAACTTCTGAATGTAAAATGTCACTTGACAATCACGACGGAAAGGTATGGGCGTTGGCTGTGAACAAGTTAGAATCTTTAGTGATTACTGGAGGATCGGATTCTAAGCTTGTTAAACTAAAAGATGTCACCATTGAACGTAAAGATAAAATGGCGAAAGAGAGAGAAGAAATAATACTCCAGGAGCAAGAATTAATGAATCTATTGCATGATAAAAAATTAGTCAAAGCACTTAAGCTAGCGTTAAGGATGGAAAGACCATTACACGTGTTAAAGATTGTAAATGAAGTACTAAAACATGGACATGAAAAATTATTTGAAACATTAAAGGAGATTAATCACACACAGAAAGAGACATTGTTGAAATTTGCAGCTGAATGGAATACGAACAATAAGCATTGTCACGCTGCTCAGCTGGTGTTTAATATTTTGGCGCCAGAAATCATCTCTGGAAACTTAAAAGTGCCCGCTTTAGCTAGTTTCATTGAAGGGGCATTACCGTACACAGAAAGGCACTTCGAAAGGTTGACTAACTTAATGCAGGATCTAAATTTCATCACCTTTACTGTAAATTGCATGCAACCACATGGTGTAAAAGATTAGATTAGAACTAATTCTTAAATAAACGTTAATTGTAGAACCAATCCAGTGGTTTTATTTAACAGTGATTAATAGTTTACGATCTGGAGCAGGTCACATGATCAATGACGCACGTACTTACCCAATATTTTCTCTAATCAAATAGGTTTTGCGAAAACTTAAATGCGGTCGTTTAAAAGCTCTTGTGATCATAATCAACGGGCGCGTGCGCAGCCTTACCGCTATCGCGCCAAGGACGGTACAACTAAGCAGCTTCCAGATGCAGTAGCAGTGAATCGATCATGCGAAGCGCACGGCTGCGCAGTGCTAGTGACTCTCGCGCAGACATTTCAACCTTCACTATGTATTTAAGAACTTTTTTAATTTTATCGTTCCTTTTGACTTTTAATAATGTGGAAGGACAAATAAATGAAACGTAAGTTACTATAATCATAGTTTAAAGTTATTTCTTAATTTCGACCAAAATGATTTTTATTGTCTGCAATTAAGGCCTAATTAATTACTTTGCACTCCTAGAGCGTTCTCTTGGCATTCTGATTACATAAAACTGTATTGGATCAAAATACAATGTAGTCTATCAGGCATACAATGAGAAATCGTGACTTTTCAAACTTTACGTCACTTGTGGAAATACACGTCTGTCTTGATTTTTATACAATGAATTTAAATAAGTTTACAATATTTACAAAACTTTTTCTCAACTACTACTTTCTTTAATCACCAATTCCACCATATACCATCGGACAAACTTCTTATTCTAAATCTAAAAAACTTTAACCGGCCTTTTTAAAAGGAGCAGGAGGAGGTTTTCAATTCGCCTGTGTATGATTTGAATTCGATTATTACACTCCCGGACTCATAAATCGAGTTACGTTGCCATTTCAGTATTAATGCATTAAGCTTAAAAATGTTTGATTGATCATAAACTATTATACAATTTTGGAACTAGTATACTAAACGTCATTTCCATATGTCCTGTCTGTAAGTTTGAATTTAAAATAGGGTTTTTTTTTTGTTCGATGATAGTAATATTTTTGCATTTTACCCTTTAAAAATAAAAATCTAAGGTGACACGAACTATGTGTACAGAGTACTGCCCTCCTTGTCACAACTAACGCATTTAAATTTCGGTAACATTTGAGATATTGGCACCTGATTTTGCTTAATAAAACAGAGAATAAATTAGCTATAAAAAAACCGATTAGAGAGGGTCGTATATCCATTTTTGCTGATCCCAGATATGTTAAAAACTTAATTTCTTAAAAATGTCGATTACGTTACTTATGATAAGGAGTATATTCGATCTCGTCGAAAGTGTATAAGGACATGGATCACAGGGTCGCTGATAAAATTATGCGATTTACAAGTAGGTTTTATTATTTGGGACTTAGGTACTTTTATTTATTTATTGTACAGTAAAAAAAAAAACAAAAACACATTTAGTAACAAGGAAAATATGAAGAAAAGTTACTGCTTATTTGTAAAAGAAATTTCTTCCTGAAGACCTAAATACAGGAGACAATAATTACAATGACGGGTTTACCGTACACAACAAAACAAAAATTATGAGTAAAAAAACCAATGTCAAAAACATTGAATTATTAAAACTGTATAAATAATTAGATAAATACATACTAAAACGTGTTAAGTTTTTTGTATTACACGTACCCTTTACTATCAAGCCTTATCACATGAGTTCTTAATTTATCCATTCTGCAATTAACTGCTCCGTCAGGAACAATAGGTGCTAGAGACGTATAAGTAAATGTGCCAGACCTCGCATGTGCGTTATATTCATTCGCAATTGTACTACATCTAATTTATATGTATGTGTCGTTCGATTCGTTCCTTCCTACTGTTATATTTCACCTGATATATTCAATTCCTTTACGTTTGTTTTTATAAAGAACAATAAATTTGAAAATAAATTCTTTTTTTGGCACACACTCATAGCCCTGCACTAGGGAAAGCCTGTGTCATATAGAATGTAACTTTGCATATTATTGAATTGCGTTTCTATGTATTCTTATCACTTTTGAAAATAGAAGTAAGTTTTTTCTTATAAACCACATTTGAAAGTAGGAAGTTAAGCCCTTTTAATGTATACCTTATTCAAATGTTGCGGATAGCTGTAGTAAGGGATGCAAATTTACTTACATTTTTTATGTACCTGGTATAGTTTAGGTATTACGTGGTTATTGGTTCTTTTTTAATTTATGATAGTAAGTTACGGGACCAACAAGTCGTGCGCCTGGTGGTAAGCGTCACGCCTATCCATGACAGTTGCAGTGCTATTCAGAGCATTAAATCACAAAGATCTTATGGGCACTGCGCCCGTCACCCTGAGACATAAGTTGACAAGTCCCATGTGCCTGTAATTTCACTAGCACCCTTACCCTTTCAAAACGGAACATGTCGGCAGAAATAGGTAAGTGGAAGTACTTCCCTGGACAAAGACTTTCACAAAGTGCTATACTATAGTTTGGGAAACAAACTAAATTGGCTTACTCTCGAAGCACAAAATTCGTAGTTACGACCGTTTGCCCGCTATGGGTGACATATGGGAAGTAGTCAAAGTCAGTTGAAAACTCTCAAATTGCGTTATACATTCTCATTTGAAGCCCCGATCAAAACTCAAGTCTGTAAGTTATTATTATGACCTTCTTTGACGTCGCCTGCTTGGTATAGCCGGCCAGCAGGCAGCGGACTGACATCGAGTCATCAAAAAAACAGAGTCCGATTATACAGCGAAAATGAAATAAACATGTAATCTCGTTATTCAAATTAAGGCTAATCGATAGGTGTTTTCAGAATTTTTATATCATATTTCGTTTTGGAAATATAAAATCGAACAACAGTCAATCTGATAGACACAGCGAAGAACAACGAACGAGATGTACAATGTCCTGAGAATAAGCAGTCTTGCACATAGGTCTTTGTTCTACGGATAAGTCGCCATGTCTATTTTGGTTTGTCTTTTGTTTTGGATTTTTGTTTGGTATCTATGGAGACGAAATAAAGAGCAGTTCGCTTTCTGGTTTGTTCTTCGTTTTCACGGTGTGGGAATGTTATAACCTTTGACGCCGTCTGCTTGGTATAGCCGCAAGCAGGCGGCGGACTGACAGAATATCTATTTTGGATTGTCTTTTGTTTTGGACTTGGTTTTTTTATTCATTGGGACGAATTAAGGACTATACACACATATGAACTGTAGGCCCGGCCCGGACACGGACATGTGTGAACGAGTTCATACAAAATATACACAACGATATATTTTTGAGCCCTTGACGGAGCACGGCCCGTCCACGCCCGGCCACAGCCCGGATACGTGTGGATAGACCTTTAAACAGCGGTTCGCTTTCTGGTTTTTTCTTTGTTTTCAGTCATCCATAGTTGGAAAACCCCGTAACTACGGATTTCGTGCTTCGAGAGTAGGTCCGCTGATTCTTTCTAAAAGCGATCATTTTAAATGTGGTATTTTCAAAAATTGCTTATTTTCAATTGTGGTTACCTATATATAACTCACGGAACACAAAGAAATAGCGTATAGTGAATTGAATCGTGACTGCATGCATTGATATTCCTGTTTATGTAGAGACCATAATCTTCAAGGTAACGATTTTTATACCCAATTTTTTCTTCATAATTTAATTAGATAATATAACAGGCACAGACCAGCAATGTACTCTATAGCCTCCCATCTTCTTGGAGAAAAGCCGTGGTCAGCAGTGATACGAAAAGCGTTTAATTGTGATTATGACATTTATGACACCGAGGATTATGACCATTAAATTAATATGCATATAAGTATAACCACGTAAAAAATGAACCTTGGAATTTTACAAATTGTCGATAAAATGCATTTGGAGACGTATATTTTAGTAACTGTACCAAATCCGTCTGTAGGTACTTAGGTAGAGCACAGGTCTTCTTTATGCTCTGGCCACACAGAGGCGGCCGCGGAAGCGTTCCGGGCGCGGAAATTTTTGTAATGCACGAGTTGTGTAATGTATTAGTTAAATGTAATAAAGAATCAAATTTTCGTCAATAATCAATTATTATGAAAATACACACTTATAAATTTCATACTATGTTAGGCAGAAGGTGGTATTGGTTACGCAAAAATGGGGTGCTAAACATTTTAATTTTTGGAAACCAGTTAAATGGTACCTTACTCTATGAACTTAAAGTTTTTAACAATTCAACTGCCTCCGTGGCCGAACGGTTACCATGCCGGACTACCACGCAGAGGTCCCAGGTTCGATTCCCGGGCCGAGAGAAATAGTTGTATGGCCACAATTATTTCTCTCGTGAGTTTGGGTGTAATTTGTGGTTGTCTATGTGTGTGTCCATGGCACCCGCGACACAGGGTTTCCCTAGTGCGGGGCTATGTTGAGTGTGTGCGTTATTTATTATTTATTATTATTTATTATAATTTCAATGTCTAACACAATAGTGACAGCGAAAGCGCGATGGACTGATCAATGATCTGACTGTCTGATCTTACTACGTCTCACTTATTAGGTTTCGCCGATTTAGCTAAGAAACAAATTTAATAAATTGACATATGTTATTTCACAACCACCGCAAAAGAAAATATTTTTAAAAATAAGTCGTAAAATAAAGCAAATCGATTTCAATCTCAATCGGCATTGTGATTTTAACTAAAATAAAAAACTCATAATTAAGGACCGCGGTCTCGTTCGAAACTGTGGAGCAAAAATCCGACTTAGATACGTGAGTTATGCGTTAGTTTACTTAATATATGTATTTTATAATTTTCGAGTTTCAATTTCAACATAATATTTAGACAATTTTTGGCTGGCATTGTGTGTGATTTTACATTCTTAATGTGGGGAGGAAAAATGTTTAAACTCAAATAGAATTATGCTTATAGCGCTGTTTTACCGAAAACTGGTTGCAATTTATATTTTATATAATTTATATTTTTTCAAATAAACCAAGCCCGAAACGTTGGTTTGTTTCGAAATAGTATTTTATGCAATAGCTGCATACTGAGGGTGCTTAAAGTTATGGC